CAGTCCTAGGACTGAATTAATTTTGTTCCAGTTACTACAGACTGAAATCAGTCCTTTCACAGGACTTTACCATGTTTCAAGTAACATCATGTGACCCAAAAATAGCCCATTGATTGGTCGGTTTCCTCATGAATTATTAATGAGTATGACAAACAGTTTTCCTGTAACAAGACTGAGATAGAAACTAGCTCCTGAAAGCTCAATATGTTCAATATATAACTTGAAAAGGAAAGAGTTCAGGACGGACCAGAGATGGGGCATTTGATTACTGTATTTGATCCGTTCAACAAGAGAATGTGAAAATATCCGGAGGGTACGACTTGACCGATTATTTTTGTTCCAGGGTGTCAATTCCCACCAGAAAATATTCACACAGCATTTTGAAATGCCCCACCCAGCGTCCCATCGTTAAAGGCTTACATGAATATAATAGCATCTTGCCAAAAAAACTATCACTTTATCATGCAAATACTGATTATTGATCTATTAACAACATTAACACAAATTTAAAAAAACTATCACTTTATCATGCAAATACTGATTATTGATCTATTAACAACATTAACACAAATTTTTTTTCCTGGGCAATTTTCTTTAGTGAAAAAGTCCAAAAATTAAGCTGTGATTTGATATCACGCACACAAATGAAAAAGAAGCTACGACATTCGTGTGTCCGGCTGTTTACCTCGTTTCTCTATAGCTAGACTTTTCAACGGGCGGGCATCGTCTTTCTCGTCCCAGGCTACCACCTCGTTATGAGGGAGAGAGGTGGGACTAGGGCGAGAACATTTCTATAAGCAAACTCAGTGACACTCACAAACAGTGATACACAGAATTTCGAGAAAGAGGGGACCAGGAGAGAGTGCATCACGAGCAATGGGTGTTGGTTAGGAAGATTTGTACCACCTCTTCATCCCTACTGAATAATGAAACGGTTCATCTACTATCTACTACTTAAAAATTACGCCCTCATGACCAAGGCCGTTTTCTCAAGGTTGTGTGCGCATCCAACTTGACGGGCCACAAAACTGAAAAACGCAAATTCAGTAAAATTGAGAAGACAGTTTTATATTTAAAGAGGAGAATAATTGATTTTATGAATTCTTATCGAAAATTTTTTAATACCAATGCATGATAATATTCGTGTTCTGGTATCGTGGCCCTTTAAGTTCCTTAAATTTGGATGCGCACGCAACCTTGAGAAAACGGTCTATTGACTCATAGGACTAATTGTTTTAGTCAAATACCTGAACTAGTCGATCAGTTCGTGCAGAATCGTTCATCGGTACAAAGGCACTAGGTCACGTAACTCGACCGCGAGGTATTCATTACCTCAGTATTACTCAACCGTCTGTCAATCGCGGAGCCCCGGGCGCGGAGCATTAATATATTCAATCAAACTACCCTTTAATAACGATTTCATTGACTATAATAATGTCCTGTAATTGACAGGCGGTTGAGTATCACCATTGTGCAATGCAAAACCCACGGTCGCGCCGTTGTCGTTGGTACGTACAAAGCTAAGTACTGATCGGTTATTTTAGAAACCCTTTGCAGTAAAGGACTAAACACAAAGACTCTATGAGTAAACATGTATAACGATCTTGATTCAAATAATCGGGAGGAAAGGCTTTAAAAATCCAACCACTATAGGTATTCTAGTGCCCTTGTTTTATCTTCACGACAATGAGAAAAAGTGGAACACGCACCTGGAAGCAATGCAGCCATCTGAAGGTCACGTGTAAAAACAGTCATCGTTTAATTCCAAGGATCGGATGCATACATATTGTTCACTAAGGTCAGATTTGATACAAGAAGAATACGGTATTCCATCGCTATGGTCCTACATCATACGATTCCTCGATTGTCCCGAAAGTAACGGAACCGTTTCATCATCACTTGAATCATCACTATTACAGCTGTTAATACTTTGCACCCTGGGATTAACATCAGCGCTTACGACCAACATATGCTCGTCTGGGTTCCTACTGTTACCATCGATGAATTTTTTACTTCTGACGTTGGAATGGGCCGTTTTGGGTACCGGAGTACCCTCCAAAGTAGATTGATTGCGTTCATTAATGCTTGTTGTAGGAAGTTGGTCACCAGAAGGATTCGACGGTGTTGTGTCCTCATCGAGACTTATCGATGACCCATCGTTACAAGAGGGCCCAACGACCTTTCCAACACCGATTCAACCAGCTATCTAAATAGCACAGTTCTGTGACTTATGTGGTTAAAATTATGATATGTACAGGTTATTAATGCCAATACACTTCACATTTTTACAACACTGTGTGGTAATGTTGACAAGATGCCAAAACATTGTTCTGTGAAGTTTTTAGTGGGAAGTGTTTGTATTCATATGTGAAGAGTGTCACTTTGAAATTACGCCATAGAACTTTGAGCAAAATTTACAATATCTAACATTATGGCTGCACGATGATACATTGCGTTTTTGAATGTCCATACAAATGGAATGCCATGGATTAAATCCCTTGCAGCAAGAATAACACCGACGCCACAGCTTCCAGTTCCATGTTCTTGTTTCTCATGCACTATCTGATCTGGCATGGGTTCTTTAAACCTTGCAAAGCTCCAAGCACTAGAACACAGTGTGGTCTCTCCAGTGATGTGATGTAAAGTGTCAAGTATCTGGTTACACCATTTCTTCAACTCATTGGAAATAGGACAATGGAGGCCATCATCAAAACGGATTGTTGCTTCTGCTAACCAGAAAACACAGAGACCCCAATGTTTTTTAGTGCGCATATAATATGGCCAAAAGAAAGCTTCCACTTCTTTGATGTTGATGTCTAAGAATGCATTTCTTAGTATTGCCTCAAACTGGCTGTCTCCTTCAACTAGTAATGGGTCGAGTACAAAAAAGGCAGCTTTCCCTTTTGATTCATTGGCTCTTGCACAATACAAATTCACCATAAAAGTGATAGTCTCATCACACAGATATCCTTCTCCACAGAGTGTTGACAGCTCAAACGCTGAAATGTTGCACTGAAAATGTCCGATTTTGAAGGGACGTCCATTCACAACACTGTCGAGAAGAGCCACCTCAACTTTTTTGCGGTCTTCCAAACTGTGGTATTTAAAGGCTAACTGCAACCAGGTAGTTTCAAATGCAACTTTGCTCTTAATTTCATGCAGCCAAACTAGCTTCTTCATTAAACGTATACCTGCCAAATCAAAACTTCCATAACTTTTGAAATACGCGACACTGTTCTTTTGGGACAACAATTCCTTTTCACACCTTTCGATGGTGGACTCGGGGGGTATCTCATTCATTTTAAGTGGGTCAGCGTTGGGTTTTTTATTCGGCATTAACAAATAATTGGACAGGCTTGAATTGGTTCTTGGGGTATTGAGTTGAGATAGTTGACGACGTGATAAAGTGAACTCTCTGCCTTCCCTAAGAATTTCTAAAGATACATCTTTATCATCGTCATCAGATGGCATAATGATTCTTGTTTTGCGCCTCATGTGACTCGGATTACTTTCTTCCTCAACAGAACTTGATATGAAATGGTGACTGTGCTTGGTTGTAACAGGGATGTCTTCAATGTTAGATTTTATATCGCCCTGAGTTTGGCTCAAGAAATCCTTCACGATTTTCTCGATTCGGCAAGCGTTTTCTGTTTCAACCAAATTCCAGTAGGAACTTCCTTCGCTAAATACCTCGAACACTTTAGGCAAAAGTCCAGTCATTAAGACAGCCAGTGCTTTCGTTGACTCATTTAAACTAGACTTCTCGTAAATCAGAATTGACGAAAACGTCAAAACCAGAAACAAAATAATGATAGTTAACTTTAAGATCATGATGGTGTAGACTTCACTTCTTGGTAGAATTTGTTCGATAACATGCTCTAAAAGTTCATGGGAGATTCTTGGCACTCCATTGTCATCAAATGTTATAGCTTTTCTTCCGTTGAGGTGTTTTTCTTGATGTTCTTTGCACTTTTCGAACATTTGTTTGAGTAGTATTTGGTATCTACTCGTCACGGAACTCACGCAGTTCCAAGAGTAGTACACAAAAACAGAAATGATTGCAATGCGTGGGAAATAGTAATCTTTGCTGGCAACAAGCCCGATCCAAAGATACACAA